TCTGCAACGGCTTCCTCCTGGCCCATTGCGAATACTTGGCCACTTCCCCCAGCATTCCTGTTGTTTTCCTTCGGGCAGTCCTTTCGGAAGTGCCCTGTTGCTCCGCACTCGTAGCAGGTACGGCCTACTCTAACATTTGCAGCTGGAGTGGCTGGTTGGGCCGTTTCTTTGCAGAAGTGGACGGTGTGTCCCTTCCTGTTGCACCTAGTGCAATGCATTTTACAGCAGGGTCCGTGATGATGAAAGTTGCATTTACTGCACTTCGGTAGGTTGCCGATGTATGGCCTTGTTGGTGTTGGGGCGGTCGGGACAGTAACAACGTGAGCTACCACCATTTTTTGTTTCTTAGGGTTTTCCTGCATGGTTTGACCCTTTCTCTTGTTCCAGGGTTTCCTTCGGTCCTCTACCTCCTTCGGTGGGTCAGCAGCAACTGCGATGGTACCCTGTTTAACCCCGTGATCGATTAATCGTTGTGCCAGGCGCTTCGTGCTGTTGAATGTGACTGGGGTGGCAGCCAAAACATGCCCTTGAATCTGGGGTGACAACCCCCAAATGTATCTTTCCACTTTCTTTGGTTCTGGGTTGACCATGCCCGGGCACAGGGCTGACAAATTGCTAAACCTAGCCGTGTAGGCGGCTAGGTCAGAACCAATCATTTTCAGGTTCCATAGTTCCTGCTCCAATTTTTGAATTTTGCCCCTCGGGGAGTATTCTTCTAACAGTAGGACTTTCAAGTCCACCCAGCTCATGGCGTTGGCAACTGGAAGAGATACGGATTTCACATGGTCCTTCCACCATGTGAGGGCTCGGTCCGTGAAGGTGCAAGCAGCAAACTTGACATTGCTTGCTTCTTGGCATGCACAGATCTCAAAGACCGTCTCGGTCTTTTCGAACCATTGCATAAGTGCAATGACCCCTCCAGTGTCGTTGAACATTTTCGGCTTTGCATTCGAGAATTCTTTGCAGGTGCATTCCCTAACATGACCATGACCAGTGCCATGGTTCTGATGATTTGTACGGCTTCCGGTCCCTCCAGCTCCGTTAGAGTTTATTTGGGATAATACAGCTGCTACTGTTGTGGTGATAGCAGCCTGTACCATAGCGGGATCGTAAGCTGGAGGTGGTGGCGGTGGCGTTGGTGTCACATTTCGGTGAGCTGACCTTCGAGGAGGCATCGAGCTGCCAAAGAAATAACAATGAAGACAATAAGTCTTTGATGATTGAAAGTCGCGTGATAATGAGTCAGCTGTTTTCAATATTTCCTGAATTAGATTTGACCTAAACAAGGTTTTTGAGTTTGATTCATAAGAAGAGTTTATATATTAAATAGATAAACTTATGAATTTGAGTGATATGCAAAGAATTAACACACAAAAGAAGTACTTCCTTATATATTAAACATATATTTGGTTACATTCCGAAGTCAGGAAAATTCGACCTTTCTAAGGGTCTCAGATTACAAAAAGTTAAAGACAAGTAAGACTTTTAGCCGAGGTCCTAATCTATAACAAAATTTTGGGAGTCGGGCAAGTACTACATGCGATGCGGGTTGCGCTTGGAGCTTGACTCCGCGTCTGATTGCTTTACTCCCATGAGACGCCTATCAAAGATGGCTTGCTGCTCCCTCATTTCTCTTATCTCGGAGAGGGCTGCATTTATTTGGTCCTGGAATGTGTCGGTGTGAAGTTGGGCATCCTCCTGCAACCTGCCCAGGCGACGGATATCGGCCGTGTTACCTTGTACCTCCACGTTGACTTCGCGAATCCGGTTCGCTTGGACTCCTGATTTGTAGGACTGGTTGGCTAGCTTGCCCACAATGACTGGGAGTGCCCGGTCAGCTGAACTTCCACCACTGACGTCGTAGAAGTCCCGACACATGCCGTAGGGAGGGCGCAATCCTTGCTATTGACTCCAATGGTGAATGTGACTTCCCCAGACTGGAGTTGGTCCCTGAAAACCTCTTCGAACCGCAGGAGGTCGGACGGCTGGTGGATTGATTACTTATGGTTCTGAGTCTGTCCCATCAGAGCCTTCCTCTTCCTCCTCTTCCATGGGTTCCTCGTCCTCTTCTGGTTCGTCTTCCTCCCATCCTCCGTTGCCTTGATTGGGGTAGTAGGGGGTCTCTAGGTAGATGGAATCCAGCCATTGTGTCTATACGAGAATAGGGTTAAGAATTGACTTTAAACTAAAGCACATACTGAAGTATCAAAGTTTAAACTAATTGCATTTCCCAAATACTCCTATAGTATTCTAAATGTTATGTTTGATTCAAAAAGGTTATGCTTTTGGTAAGTTTTTAGACTTGTTGTCCACTGCAGCTACTCCCTGGCATACGTTAGTCGGCTCTCGGACAAATATAGTTGATCAGGCTATATTCATCCCAGTTCCGATTACATGTTCCAAGGCATACCTGCACTGCACAACTCATCTATAATACTTCTATATTGTTTTCAATATGATACTGACCCTGTTATGCAATGTATGCATGTATACTTTATAAAAATTTCATTTTAAAAGTATAACTCTCAATCAGAGTGTTTTTGCCCGGTTGTGTTTATAGTTGTATATAAAAAAAATGGTTTTGATATACTTAGTTCACTATAAACAATGTGTTGATACCAATCTGTCACACCCCAAACCAGAGCGGCGGAAACGTTCGGGGGCGGAGGACGTCATATTCAGTATCATATCAATTGAATAGTAAAGAAAGTACACACCACCATAACATATATCTGAAAAGTTTACATGATTGTAGCTATTACATGTTTAAAAGTCAAATACAAAATGATGAATTCCAAAAGATGATGTTAACGCAAGAACGTTAATCTCCAAAAGTAGTTGTTAACCCTGCTTAGCGGTTTCCTGAGAATACAAGTTATTTCAAGAAAAAGTGTCAACAATTAAGTTGGTGAGTTCATAAGTAGTGTTTTGAGAAAATGTATGCCATTCGAAAGTTCGTGTATGTTTTCCAGAAAATCCGATATTTTCTTATAAATGTATGAAATGAGAATGAAAGATCGTTGTGTAAACTGTATGTGTTTGAAACAGGAAAATCCCTTATTTTCCTAAAAGTGAAATGCAGTCTCAAATGACCAAGACCGTAACCTGTGAGTAACTATGACATGCTCAAAAGAATGATGTATAGTTTTATTATGAAACAAAACTATAAGAAGATTGTATCTATATGTGAAAAGAACTGTAACAGTCACTTTTCCCGTGAAAACGTAATACCATAATAATTGTCTATCCAGTGAGTTTTCATAACCGTACTATCATAATTTGCCTGTAGCGACGTTCTTCAGGCGTCGAAATGTTATGACACTTGTCACCCCGGGGACTGTAGCTAACAGTCAGGGTGCAGGATCATTAGTCCCGTATAGATCTATACACACTTGTCACGTTCTCCGGACGGGAGATTCTGGTTATAAAACAGGACTTGTAGCGATACCTTAATAGGTATAGTGAAGATGAATGACTCACAGATTCTCAATTAAGTCACGTATTAAAATGAATATGTTTGATTCCTGAAATGATTACCCTTTTTTCCACATTATAGACAAAGGCATAATTAAGAGGTGTATGTTCTTGTATGTATAAAAATGGTATAGTGAAAATGGTTACCCTTGATATGATGCAACGTATAAATAAAGACTATAATATTTATAAACATGTTTCATCCCGAGAGGGTAAAGTAGTGTAAGATGTTTTGCATGTTAACAGATCCATATGATAGTCATGAAATCAACATGAAATGTATAACAAAAGATTGATGTTTTCACACGGGATTAACCATGTGTTTACTTGTATCCCCCCCCCCCCCTTTAAAAGTGTTTAAAAGCATTTAAAAGCATTTGAAAATGTAGTGATATGGGTATGAACTCACTTGATAGCTTGAAGAAGGTGAGACAAAAATCGAGCAGAACTTCGACTAGAGAAAGCTGATTTCTCGGGATTCTCGGGAATCTCGGGAGCGTAAAACTTCCTTCAGAACTTGGATATGAAAACTGAGGCTTCGGGATGGCTTCGAGGGGTTAAACGCAGAGCAAAAGCACGAGAAAGAGAATAGTTGAGCAATTAAGCCCGGAACCCTCGCACCCCTTTTATAGAGGCTGAACCGCCTCGGTACGCTGGGCGTACTCTAGGAGTATGCGGGGCGTAGTGGGTCGTCATCGCTTACGTACTTCGGACTTGATGTCCGATGGGAGGGCTGATGGCCGATGGGACGAGGCCCTTATCGCCTGGTACGCGGGGCGTAATGTGAATTTCCAACTTCTAAATTGCATAACTCTCGCGTACGAGCTTCGTTTTTAGCGTTCTTTATATCCACGCGTTGGTGAGACTGTACTCTACAACTTTCGTTTAGACTCCGTTGGCTAGTTTTGATTTATCTTTAATAATATATTTTTAAGAGGCCGGGACTGGAAAAGTCCGTTAAAAATCCATAACTTCTTCATCTGACGTCCGTTTTCGTCTGTCTTTTTACCGTTGTATTACTATTGTAGAGATCTTCAATTCTCGTTTAGGTTGCATTGGCCAAAAGTCACTCGATCTCTATTTCGAGTTTTAGCTGTCTACCGCTATGTCCGAAACTTCGAAAAATCATAACTTCCTCATACAAAGTCAGATTTGGGCGTTCTTTTTATGCACGTTCACGGTTTAATGATATCTACGACTTTCATTTAGATACCTAAGGCTAAAAAGTATTTTATTGAAATTTCTCGTTTTATGCATAACAGTGTTTTACCGGTTTTGCCGCGAATCTTTGATTAGTCATAACTTCTTCGTTATAACTCGGATTTGAGTGTTCTTTGTATTTCTGAAAACCTTGACACGATATCTAACATTTTATGTAACCCAATTGAGACTTTTGAACAATTCGTTTTTGACGCTATTTATTATTTCACAAAAAGATTGCAGCATTTGACTCTTAGTCATTACATTGATCGGAAAATAACGGGTTGTTACAATTATCAAATGATTTCGTGTTTTTGGGGTTCACGATGAACATAAGAGATGATGGTGGTCAAGACGATCTACTGTTGGAAGTCGTGATAGTTTTAACGTGGTCCGGCGGGTGGATGGTGATGATGACATTGATGTTTAATTGTGGAGATGTGGGTCTTCTAGGGTTTTAATTTTGCTACCAATGCATGTATATACATTTATCTGTATGTGTATATGTTGAGAAATGGGTAGAACGCAATGAGATTGGATCAATCGGAGAAGGATAGAGATGAAGCTTGAAGTCGTCGGAGCCACTACAAACTCTAACTCCGATTAGGGTTTCGCCGTCGTTCCCCTGCAGTCATTATCACACCTCCTTCCATATCTGTGAATCGCAAACGACGTTCTATAGACATTTCCGTCTTCATATGAAAATATAAGATGTGTGTTTGTGTGGGAAATAGAATCTAAAAACTCCATGTGTTCATGTGATTTAGAAGTGTGTATTTGTGTTCATCAGATATGAATTGGGGAAGATGAAGAAGTGGGTGGGGGTGAATTTCTTTTTCACGAGAGAGAGAGAGAGAGAGAGAGAGAGAGAGAGAGAGAGAGAGAGAGAGAGAGAGAGAGAGAGTGAGAGAGAGGTAGCCCCACTTTATTTAATTATTAAAAGAAATAAAAAAACAATTAGATTTTAAAAGAATGAAAGAAAAATGAAAAATAAATGTCCCAAGGGTATTACAGTCATTTCAGTTTACCGAGGGACCAAAAATGCAATGAAACTACCTCAAACGGACCACCAATCCAAAAACTCATGGTTTGGACTAAAACCCCAAATATATATATATACCACATGGACCATTTTTGCAATTTTGTCTATTTTATACAACCTAAAGTTTACTTTTAATTCTAATCGAAAGTCCAAAGAGAAAAGACCAAAGACTAAATTGTTTTTACATAGAAATCGAGGACTAGACTTCTAGATTTTCAACATTCTAGCAAGAAACATGATGTCATTTCATTTATATTTCATCAACCAAACAATTATTTATCAATCAAAAGAATGTTTGAAACTGTTATTCTCTTTTAATGCAATCGACAGTCAAAAACCAATCAGAAGTTACTACGAAAATGATTTTAATTCCAATCGAAAGTCCTCAAATACGTAATGTGTTATTTAAATCAACATTGTTTTATTTAATAAATGTTATTTTGAGGTTTAAATAAAATGTGTTTGATTATTTAAAAAACTTATGGGTTATCGGACAGTTTGAATATCTGTTGATTCGGCAGATAGGGTATGAGTTTGATTGTTCAAAACCCTACGGGTTACGGAACGAGTTTGGATTGGAATTTGAAATGTGTTAAACGGGTTTGGATAAAGGTCGATTCGTACCGCACCCGCCACCTCTCCAAGTTCGGATGATCTAGGTGGGATTACACATTGTTGAGTTGCGTGACCGCGTCATAAACAGACTCACAGACCGGAAGGAGTTAACTCGGACTCTAGGAAGTCGATACTCGATAACTTCTCTCTTCTCCCACTTTTGAGCGTCACCAGCTCGCCGTCCTGCTCCGCCTCACTGCTGTTGCCGCCTTACTCCGCTCACCGCTGCTGTCACTCTACAGCCCCCTGCTCCGACGCCGCCTGCTGCCGCCTCTGATTTTGAGGTATTTTGTTTTCTTTCCAAAGCCATTATTATTTAGTATTTTCAAATTGTTAACAATTGGGTTTCTATTTTTTACGTGTTTATGGTTAATTGTTAGGGTTTGTTAATGCGAGAATGCTATTTTGAGTTAGGGTTTCTTGAAGATTGATCGGTTTATTGCTAATTGTTACTTAATTTATTGAAAATTGAAATTTAATTGTTAGGGAGAATCTTGGGATTGATAAATTAATTCACAATAATTTGTGTTTTCCTCCTTGAAATCAAAATCAGAATAACTCCCTGGAGATGAAATAATTGGCAACAAATCAAACAAAAACAACATCTACCTATTAAGGCAATCACATAAAAAATCAACCTTTTTGAAAAAAAAAAAAATCGCATTGAAATTGAAAGAGAAGAAAGGAGAGTTATTGTTAAATTTGGGGAGGGATCTATATTGATTTAGCATTAAGGAGTACGCTTTTTGAAGCAGAATTAAAATTTGTGTCTTCTTGAAATGAAGGGATTATCCATCTTTACTATAAGGATAGAATCATGTTAGTAAAAGAGGCATCTTTGTGTGATTGAATGCTTCTTATAGTGTTTCAAGAAATGTTCATTAAAGCAGTCATGGTGCTATAATTTAAATGGAGTCTTACATGTTAAGTTCTCATACTTCTTTCCCTCTGGACACATGTAGTGTTAAGTTCTCAAATTATCTAAATTTTTATTGAAGTTAATAAAAATTGTGATGTTATTATTGTATGTTTTTTTCAAAAAGATTATTATTAATGATTGAAGATAAAGTATTATATGTAGTCATGTAGATATAAGAAATATGCCAAAATATATAAGTATGCCCTTCTTTGTCATTTTACGTATTTAACAAGTTTTTGCCAAACACTCCAAAAAATGCTTATTAGCTGATAGCATTTTGTCAGCGCATTTCAGTTTTTTTGTAGATTGATCAAGAAATCAGAAAAATGAAGGAAGAAGAAGTGAACAGATGCCAAATCCAAGAATGGTATCCAAAATTCAAATCCACAACCATAAAAACAATAATCCATGAGCTCCCGGAATCCTTCATTCAGTATCTCCTGGATGATTCCGGTCCTTTCCTCCTTCCGCTTTCCATTTCCAATTCCGATGCATTACCCAACAGAATCCACAATTCCGAAGACCAACAAGACTACATTATATCCCAAGAACAAGAATCCGATGACGAATCAGAACAACCACCACCACCACCTTCATTCCCGGAATTGGAATTACAAATCAACGAATCAATCAAAACACTCGGTGGTGCCATCTTCCCTAAACTCAACTGGACCTCCCCTAAAGACTCTGCTTGGATCAGCTCAACCGGGACCCTCAAATGCACCTCGTTTACCGAAATTGCCCTTTTGCTTAAATCATCCGATTCATTGGTCCACGATCTTTGCCATGCTTATGATTTGTGTAATGACTGTAATGCCCCTAGACCTGATCGTTTCTTCCTTGCCCTTCGGAAATGGTACCCGTCTCTCCACCCGGAAATGGAATTCCGTTGCTTCGTCCGGAATCGCATCCTGGTCGGAATCTCGCAACGAGAAGTCACGGGGTTTTACCCGATTCTGATCGAAAAGAAACATGAATTGGAAACAGGAATCAAGAAATTTTATATTGAGAATGTGAGAATGAGATTTGAGTCGGAAAGTTACACGTTTGATGTGTATGTGAGAACGGATGGGGAGGTTAAGCTTTTGGATTTTAACCCGTGGTGTGAGGTTACATTGCCGTTGTTGTTTACATGGCCGGAATTGGAATCGGAATCGGAATCGGTGAGAGGGGGAATGGAATTTAGAATGGTGGAGAGTGAGTGTGGAGTGAGGCCGGGTTTGAAGACAGCGGTTCCATATGATTATTTGGATACAAGTGAAGGAAGTGGTTGGGATCAGTTTCTTAGAAATGCTGATCACGACTTGAGGCGACAAACCAGGTCCTCTGGTGCCTAGCTTTATCAAGTTTTTATTAAATAGTCTTTTTATTTATAATTGAACATCATACTTTAAAAAAAAAAAAAAAAAAAAAAAAAAAAAAAAAAAGCTACCAATAGACTTTTTATTATTTTCTTGTATAAGAGGACTCGAGGACCTTCAACTTATATGACAACTTGGATCAATATGTTTTTGAAGTGAAATCATGAAAATGTGTTTTTTTAGAGTATTTACTAAAATGCCCACACAAAAGCCCAATATTTTATTACAATCAGTCGACCACAATTCCAACTATTTAACAAGCCCAAATATAAAACCCATATATTCTAATGTTCTATAATTTCGACTGTTGTAACAAAATAAACAAGTAGCGGTGAATTCTGATCCTTGAATTTGTTGTCTCGAACTGGTTCTGTGTTGGTTTCGATTTAGGATTTTTCTATCAACAAATCTGTAATTAATACCAAAATGATACATTGAAATTTAATAAAATAAAGTAGGGAAGAAGTTGGGTAATTTGTTGCTTAGTCATCTCAAAGAAGTTGAGAGAAAAGGATGATGGGATTGTCGATCCGATTGTAGTATATAATTGGATTATCAAAATGGAGACGACATTCAATGCATGTTAATATAGATACGATCAACGAACAAATTTTGTAGTTACAAAGCTCAAAACTCAAGCCTTATGATGGTGGATTGAACTCACACAACCAATAAACTCATGCATCATTAGTCTGTTTCTGTGGGCCTATTTTTTTGCAAAAGCTTAAGGAGAGATTTTGTATGGCAGAAGAAATTTCCAACATGAAAGAGATTTTTTTGGTTGAAGAATGAGAGAATGTCGGTTATCGAATATAACACCAAGTTCTTATAATCTCATGAGCTTTGCAAGAAGGTTATCACCAAATAATGATACAAAGGTGAGCCAATATGTGGAAGGGCTATCGTGGAATTATCAATTAAGCATGAATGAAACAACTACACTTGATCAAACGATGAGGAAAAGAAGAAAAATTGAGAGAATCTAAAAAGTAGAGACGAATAGAAACTTGGAAGATAAGATGAGTATTTGGAAAATAAAATAAGCTAATAAAGTGGCTGTAAGCCTGTAACAATTGGTCCCACATAGGAAAAAGAGCAAATTCTTAGTGGGTTTATAAGCATAAATGTGTAATAGATTTATAAGCTTCTATGCATTGTTATACTCTAACATCTATGCATGTGCAAAGGTGAACTTATTTGTGTGGATGTAATAGATTTATAAGCTTCTATGCATTGTTATACTCTAACACCAATGCATGTGCAAAGGTGAACTTATTTGTGTGGATGTGATATGTGGACATGAATGCAATTTTGGACCCACACATATTTTTGCAGAATTTTACAGTTTTAGTCCTTAGGTTTTTTTGTAACCAATGCATTTAATGAGAGTTAGTGACCATTACTTCATTTAGTTTCATATTTTTGCAGAATTTTGCAGTTTTAGTCCTTAGGTTTTTTTGTAACCGATGCATTTAATGAGAGTTAGTGACCATTACTTCATTTAGTTTCTTATTAATGAGTGTAGTTACAAAGACTTGTCAGGCTCGGTCTTGTTTAAGTTATACGAGGCTCGAGCTCGGCTCGATTCAAGCTTTCTTGTACTGAGTTCGGCTCAAGCTCGTAAAAAATTATACAAGCTCGGCTCGGGCTCGGCTCGTTTTTCATTTGACGTGCCTAAATAAGCTTAGACTCGAGCTCGTTAAGAAGCTCGTTTACTAATACCAATCCCTAATTTCCAAAATATGTTTTTATTTTAATATATGAAAATAATAATAAATTATATTATATAAATGCTCGTTTAGGCTCGCGAGCCTAATCGAGCTTAGTGACCTAGGCTCGAGCTCGAGCTCGTTTAATAAACGAGCTTAATATTAAGCTCGAGCTCGGCTCGGGCTCGTTTAAAATCGATTTCGAGTCGAGCTTTTAACGAGCCGATCCTGAGTAGCTCGCGAGTAGTTTGGCTCGTTTGCACCCCTAGTATATATACAGAGACATTTGCTTTTCATTCTTATACACTGTAAAAGAGTCTTTTCTCCTTTACTGTGTAAATAATTTTCGGCGAATTTTTTCAAACAAGTGGTTAGATCCGGCAGTACATACTGCTTCAATTGTTGTACCTTGAGAAAAGACGGCAAATCTGTTTAAGGGAATCATGTCAAACATGAGTCTGACTCAATCGGCAGGATTAATTACTATTTGTTTTATTTTGCAGATTTATTATCGAAAACTATCGAAAACTAACAGGAGTAGCAAGTCACAAGTTAAATCAAAAGAAGATTTTGTTTTCTTTAGATGTGGAACTAAATAGCATCTTGCTAACAAGTGTACCAAGATGTGAAGAAATTGAGACGGATTTGGCATTATGCCTCGTCTTGCTCTTTGAATAAGAAAGAAAATGGTGATTGAAGTATGAAGAAAGGCATTCCAAGAGCAAAAGGTCATTGTTTTCATATCACTATGACTCATGCCATGGAAAATGCAGAGTGCAGACACTGTTAAAGGTACCTTCCTTGTGAAGTTGTGAACTACATTCCCTCATTACTTGGACTTTGTGACATAATTTACATTATTATATTGGTTCAATTGTATTAAACTATTTAAAAATGAGATTTTATAAATTATTTTCAAATAGCTCATGCAGGGGATGTTTCAGTACAAAATGATAATACTACATAAACATAACGTACAATCTAACAAGAAATGGAAGAGTTTGTTTTGTCATATAAAAGAACTATATAGTTGACTCTAACAACATGTGGCCTTAAAAAATAACAATATGTGGTCAGTTACTTAATGGTGAACCACACAGATAATTTTCAGAACAATATAGGACTCGTATAAGTATAGCAACATCCATTTTTACAACACCCAAGTTTTATTTTTTAACACGTTTTCATGGAATTCTCAGGATGATGCGGGTAAAAATAAGGGTAACTAATATATTATATATACATTCTTACTTGATGATTCAACACTAAAAGTAGGAGGTTAAGTGGAACTATTCGGGCCTCGTGCCCTCGTATAATAATTAAATTACCATAAGTAGTAGGTAAATGGAAACTAAGGTGCATCGATACGTTCTTTAGTAGATTTTCTAGTTGTTTTAAATATATGCATCGCTTTAAACAATACATCCAAATATTTTTTAGGTAATATAGATCAAAATATGTTGTCTTGAGAATAAGAACGTACATCGCTGAGTAATTAGCGAATTGTATTTACTATTGCATGGCATAACCGTAACATTGTGAATTATAAAAGGTTTTAATAAAGGACTAGGATAATAAAAAGGATAAGAAGGTACCTGGAGTATAACGATTGTATTTGAGAATATTTAAATTTCAATACACAGAATTATCAATAATTTAAATTTCAAATACACTACGGAATTGCAGTTTGTTAATGAATTAGAGTCCGTCAGGAGTTGTAATCTAATTTTATATTTTGTTTAGGAGGTCGGAAATGTAACTTAAATCTAATTTCATATTATGTTTGGTTGATAGGAAATGAAATAGAGTATGATAGAATTGTCCTTTTTTGTTTTTTTACTTAATTTTATATTGTTTTATAACTTATATGTAAAGACATATTAAATAAATTATAAAAATAGTAAATTATAGTGGTGGCGGTGGCGATGGTAATGGTAAGTGGTGGTATGTGGTGGCAGAGGTGATGGGTGGTATTGGTGGTGGGTGGTAAAGGAGGAGGTCCGTGGTGGCAGTGGATAGTGATAGTTGTGGTGGTGGTGGTAATGGTGACAGTTATGGTAGATAGTGATAGAGGTGTCAATGGTAATGATGATTCATATGAAGTTTTAAAAATAAAAAAGGTATTGTAATTTTAAACTTTCCGTTTTGAATTCCATTTTGATTCCATCCTCATTTTGATGGATGAACCTTCGGAGTATGACTCAATCAATACAAAGTTCATTTCATTTAAGAATCCAATTATTTATCAAATTTTGAACAAAACATGAGAATGTGGTGAAATTGGATTTTATTTTATCTAATTCCAACGAATTTCTTCCAACCAATCATCACCTAAAACTTGGTGTAATGTTTATATGGAGAGTAACAATTGGAAATAGATGCACGGAGAAAGTGAACATATCGCTAAGGGTGGTAAAAGTAGAATTCTTCCAACCCATTCAATTCACTTCCACATCAATTTTTTTTTTAATCTTTTGCAACCCACAATACATGAAAATAATAGTTTTCCCAACCGACTCGACTCATTTAATTACAAATATATAAAATAATATATGGTACAAGTTCTTAAGCCCATGGAGAGAGAGAGAGAGAGAGAGATGAAAGAGATGAAAGCGGTTCACCTAACCCGCATGTGAGGCCAAAGCCTCAACCCGTTCATTCGCGGGGTAATGCTCCTAAAGATAATGCAGTTACGGCCATCCTAAAAGCTCCCAACCTGAATTACTTTAGCATATTCACTTTATGTCGGGAAAAGTTGAATCGTGAATGAGCAATGTACGGTTTGCGATTTTCGTAATCGTTTAGTTATAACACACGTAAATGTGGTTGCCTTTAGGCCTAACAATCGTGTCGTGTTCGGGTTGGCGTGTCGCGGGTTGGCGAGTTGGCGGGTTAAAATATGTCAACCCAAACACGACCCATTTAAATATACAGGTCACGGGTTGGCGGGTTTGGAACATAAACCCATATATGACCCGCCAACCCATTTATTTATACGGGTTCACAGGTTGGCGGGTTCGTGGGTCAGATTTGGGTTCGTGGGTCAGATTCCATAAATAAAATTAACAATGAAACATGAATAAATCATTGATGGTTGATGCGAACATATCCGAATTTTCGACACTTAACTACTTAAGTTTAAACATTCATAGAAACATGTTCAAACTAAACATTAATACAAACATAAATAATACTTATTATATAATACTTATTAAATATTGATACTTGATATATAAATACATTTAAAAATAAAAAATATATATATTTTTTATTAAAAAATATAAATGGGTTGGCGGGTCAACCCGTTTATTTTTTGAGAAACCCATATATGACCCGATTAATAAACGGGTCGGTGGGTTGGCGGGTCGGCGGGTTGGTGGGTTGAAAAACTCAACCCAAACTCATTTATTTTGTGTCGTGTCGTGAGTCGTGTCGAGAATTGTCAGCCCTAGTTGCTTTGCCATTCTCACACCATTAGTCAATGACTCTTTTTTAAACAATAACAAATTATAGTTTGAGGTTATGATTAAAACATTTGGTAAAAAGATTTTTGAGTTACATAGATATCTGTATTTAAATCCGAAACTAGTTTATACAATATCATCTTTATACAATTTTATTTATCATTTTTGTATATGAACGAGAGAATAAAAACTCATATGAAAACCCATAAAGTGGTGATACATTAAATTATTATGTTATCAATGCTTTGATGTTCCAGAACGAGGTCAAGGGGGATGCACAATGCACCCAGTCGGCCCCACTCTTTGCATTTGCTTAACCTATTCAATTATTCAATGCATAACACCGTAGGAGATCCACGCTCATACATATCCTTCAAACTGCCACATCAAGCCTAAATATCTACGTGGTATTTCCACCTAAGCAAATAGCGAATCCTAACATGCAACGTAGCGTGCCACAGATTCG